TCCAAGCTTCAATCCTTTGTACAAAGCTACTTCCTTTTTCAAAAGATACTTCTGCTCTTGTTTTTTCATATTTTTTTCTTATCATTTCAATGTTTTTGATATGTTCTAAGTATTTAATCACAAAAAAGACTTGTGATCTTGTTATATGATAGGGTATGTCCAATATAGTAATAGTCTCTTTTTTGCTTGAGTATAGTTCTCTTTTCTTGGTTATATTGTTTATTCTACCAAGGACTTTATTGCTAGTTAGAAGAGTTTCTTGCTCATATATTCTCTTTTTCCTTTTGTCTTTTGTGACTAATACCTTTTCTTCTTCTGTTTGGTTATATACTATCTCTATTCTCTTTTTGCTTATGCTACCTGTTGAGCATTCCCCTCTTTCAGTTTAGTTATACAAAGTAGATCTCTTCTTTTGTATTTCTGCAAGTTCCTTCTTTGTTTGAGTCTCTCTTTCTTCTTTTTCTTTTACTTTGCTTTGTATAGCTTTTTCTTTCTTTGAGTATCCATTCTTTCTTTCTTTTGTTAGCTAAGATTTTCTTGTACTTGAAATCCCTTTCTCTTTTAATATTCCTCCTTTACTTCTCTTGATTTTTTGTCTTCTAGGATTTCATTCTTTAAGGTTTGGAACTACTTTGCTTTTCTTTCAACATGTCTCTTTCCTTCTCTTACTTTGAGCTATCTCCAAGTAATTATTCTTACTTGTTCATTATCTAATAGTTGATTTACGTACTATAAATTAAGCTTGCTTATATCTTCTTGTGCTTCTTTTATATTATATTTATTAAGGATATTGCTAATGAGATAGTTTTTTCTCTTTTAAAAGTTTATAAAGTTCTAGCTTGCTATAAAGTCATTTTTTGTGATACTTAAATTGTATTTTTTTGCATGCTGTATTATTGTAGCTCCAAGGTTTCTGTGCTTAGTCTTTTTCCGATTTGTATTTTTCACTGTAAGTATACACTTTGATATATTCATATCTAGTTATGTCTGCTTTAATCTTATTAATGTAGTTATGCCTAAAATACTATTTGTATTTATTTTTACAAAGAGCTCTGATATATAGTGCTTTATATATTTTTGCTATAGGCTTACTATACCAAATATATTTCTATACTAAAGAGTTGCATTTACACATATAGATAAAAGCTCTAATTTCTATTTGATTAGTCTGAGTATAGGCTGTCATATAGCATCACATGATTTTTTCCTTAAGCAGATATTTGCAAGTAGATATTCAAGCTTTAGTAGCAATACTATATTATTTATATATATTATCTGACTTGCTGAGAGTTTTTTGTATTTTAGTATACAGATTAGTTTTCCTACTTCCTTTTTGCAACATAGGATACTTGTTCTCTTTTGTTTTTTTAAGCTTATCTAAATACTTAGAAACTTTGTACTTTCTTTCAGTTCCTTGATTTTTACTTAGCTTGAAGGTATTCTAATTTGTATAAATTTATCTTCTTTTTCTTGCTTATGAGGTCTCCAAGTGATTACTTCAGACTTTGCTCCATTTATCTCAATGTTGTTTAGTGTAAAAAAGCTATTTGATACTTGTATAATTTCTTGCAGTGCTTGCTTAGATTCTGCAACTCATGTTGTATCATCTGCATATGCTATAGTGTAGGAATCCTTAAACCAACAAGTTAATTATATAGGTGGCCAAATTTCTGATATATGCTGTGTAACATTATACAAAATAAAGCAATATTATTAGATAACATAGTTGTTAGAATATAAACAAACATTTGATAAAAATTTTTTTTTATAATTTTAGCCAGAATTATGCTAATTTCAAATAAATTTAGCCAAAATTAAGGTGGCCAAATTTTTAATTTGATTAATAAACTTAGCTAACTTAAAAGGATATAACATTATTAAATATTAATTAACCTAAAAAATAAACTTCATAACTTTATTCTTTGAAGTTTATTTTACTATTCTATGAAGAGATTTGATTTATAATTATTTTAGTTTTTTATTTATAAGCATTTAAAAATCATATATTTTATTCGTTGACTTAAGAGTTCCTGAACTGTAGTACTGAAATCATAGTTTTTTCTGTTTTGTATATTTGATTTTTAATGTCTATTGGCTACTAAAACTCCATTTGGTATCTAATTCCTAGTTGCTGTATCCTTACTAACAATAGATCATAAAATATTCTCTATATTAGTAGAGAGATTACTTCATCTTGATCTATTCTATCTTCAGCTATGAAAAAATCTGTAAGACCTACATTTGTTATCACTCTTATTTCATGATCTTAATATAATTGCTTAATAAATATGATTAGGTTTTCTAGAAATTTGATTCTTTTTATAGAAAGCTCTAAAGTATAGATGCTAACTGAGTCAAAAGCTTTTTGTATATCTTAAAAAGCTATCTAAAGCTTTTTTTCTTTTTGAATTACATTCTTGATAATGTTATTTAAGATATGTATAGATACCATAGTACTTTCATTAGGTAGTCCTGCAAAGTTAGCTCCTTTTAGAATTTGCTTTTTAATAAAGACTTTGCTTAGCCTTTTTTGAACTATTCAGACTACAAGTTTTTGAACGTCTCAAGTAATATTATCAGTCTAGTGCTAGCCAAGTTAAATTTCTAATTTGTATTTTTAGAAATTAGGTATATTTACTCTAGTTTCTATTTCTTAGGGAATCTTCCTTCATAGACTACTTTGTTTGCAAATTTTACCAAATATTCTTTTGTCTTAGAGCTTACTTTTTTTATGAGCCTGTAGCTGATGTCTAAGATACCAGATGCTATATTTTCTTTTAGCATACTTGTAGCTTCTGACTATTCTTCTTCTATTATTTTGTTTATAACTCCTATGTACCAAGCTTTATTGATTCTTTTTTATTCTTCGTAGATATTGGCCCATTCTTTATCTATTTGCTTGAATTGGTGACTTCATTTTCTGAATTGTTCCTTAAAATACCTTTCTACTTCTCTTCTAATATCATTACTCTTCATAACTAACATTTTGTTTTCAAACTTATTTTGGCTTTGAACTAAAATCCTATTAACTATAATCTTGTTATGAGAACATTCGAGCAATTTGTTTAATATTTGCTTTTGGCTTTTAGGCATTAGTGCAAATCTTTCTTCTATTTTTTTCTTTATTTCTTTTTCTTTTGCAGCTTGCATTTCCTTCTGAGCTCTTTCTTTTAATATATTCCACTACTCTTTAATTTCAATACAGTATTCTTTGTTCCAGAATTCTAGTAAGAATGAGATGTTTATTTTGTATTCTGTGTTGAGATGCTCTATTCATGTATTTAGAATTGCCTTCTCAAGCTCATCTATACTTTGTTCTATGTCCTTGGACCTTTTTCTGAATATCCTTCCTAAGACCTTAGCTCTGCTATATGTTAGTGATTTTGTAGCTTTTTTCCTGATTTGACTTTTAGAGTTTTGTGTTTTTGTTGAAGGAATATGCTTGTTTGCTGCTGCTTGTATTGCCTTGGCTATTAGCTCCCATTCTTCATCAATATCTGTTTCAGGCTCTATTTTTTCTTGGTTTTCTTCTCTTTTTTTTTTCTTTTTCCCTGCATTATGAATGATTTTTTCTACTTCTTAGCTATAACTATTCCAATTTCTTCCGTAGCCTTGTGGTACTAGTATAGTTTTCTTGTTTCTTTCTGTCCTCTTTTGCTTCTCTGCTTATTCTTTTCTAAGATACTTGCACTATCTAATTGTACCCACACCATTCTATGATTACTATCTGTTACTGTTTCTATTTGCTCTATATTGTTATCTAAGAAGTAGATATCATTATATATATAATGATACCTACTTATATTAGGTTGTTACCTACTTATGAGAGTGACGAACGATTCATGCTTGCGTCATCATTCGAGTGATGATTAGTTTATGAGTTCATCGTCATTCAAGTGACAATTAGTTCACGAGTTCATCATCATTCGAGTGATAATTAGTTTATGAGTTTGTTATCATTCGAGTGACGATTAGTTTACGAGTCTGTTGTTGTGATGAATGATTCGCACTTGCATCATCATTTGAGTGATGAACAATTTACGCTTGTGTTATTATTCAAGTGACGAACGATTCATACTTGTATCGTCATTCAAGTGACGATTGGTTCATGAGTTCATTATCATACTTGAGTACCCACAACCTATAAAAAAATATGACGACAAATTTGTAGTCATGTTGTCACACTTGAATACCTCATGATCTATAAAAAATATGATGCCAATTTTATGTTTACGTTATCATACTTCTGCTATCAGATATGCTATATATATGTTATCTAGACATGCTACATTCACGCTATCAGGTATGCTATCATATGCTATTGAGTATGCTATATTTCTGCTATCAGGTATGCTATATTCACGTTATCTGAACTGCTATCAAATATGCGTCACTTAATTGCTATCAGCTATGCTATCTGGCTATGTTATCGTATAAATGCTATCAGATATGTTATATATAGTGGAGCTAGTATCTCTGACATATAAGAGGGCAGGTATATAACATCATTTTTTACTATAAATAAATCTGAAGTTTTCTATCATGACATATACTCAAAACATATCATTGAAAGGGTATTCTTCTACTATTTTTCTTATAATATATTACCGCACTTGAATACCCTTGATGATATATACACGAAAACATACCTGAAAACATATCATTGAAAGGGTATTCTTCTGCCATTTTTCTTATAATATATTACCGCACTTGAATACCCCAAACACATATCATCACATCGAAACAGGTATATAACTTCTATAATTCTTATAGCAGAGCTAGTGTCGTAGATATATAATATATTACCGAACTTATATACCCAAAGTATTCACTAATCGAGATCGCAATTCTCTTCATTTATCTCACTAAAACTCAATGCAATTTTTTTGATATCTCTTACCAGGCATGAAAAAAAATAATTTAAACTTTTCCAAACTATTTTGTAATAATATAATCGAACAAAGATTGATACATACCAATAAAAAAACCAAATACCAAAAATGAGCAAACAAAACACACAAGTGATCCAGTACGGAGGCAGAGAAACCATAACAGGGGTTCCAATTCGCAATGATATTTCGAAATATGATAATGAGTTAATGGCTATACTTCAACAAAGCTTATCTGAAAAAAAATCTATACACTTTATGCCCAATGATGTGCAAGATGCTTTTGAGTATGTTAATAATATACAGACATATATTTTACATATCTATGGCCCTCTAATTAATAGACAAAAGGCTAGAGTAGATATCATGAGTATTAAACCTTTCTTTGATATTATTGTTCCAGATAATGAACCTTTATCTATATTTAAACCAAGATTAGTAAAAATTATATTGGGGCAGAAAAGATTGATAAATCAAAGTTTGCAAATCAACTTTTTCCGATGATCTCTTGTACCAAAAATTTCCAACTTATTTTTTTTTAAAATATACAATAAACTTTGTAAAAATATAAGAAGAACAACACAGGGAAGCATAAGACAGCATCTGTTATTTAGAGATAGTTCTCATATGCTATTTGCTAACAGGTTTAGAGTTTATCACTCACTGCAATATCATAGCGGCACTTGTCATTTAGAAGTAGTTCTCATACGCT